AGGGATATAGGAACCCTGCATGGCCGCATCTTAGGTTGTTAAACATTGACTTTATGGAATTACAAGCTCTAGTGCACCTCATAATCATTCTTTTTTGTTTTTGACTATTTGGCATTAATTTCTGATGATGAGAATACTTCCAAAACCTAATTTTCTTTTCTCTTTTGGGCATCTGCTTCTTTTATTTTCTCTCATATATCCTCTACCATTCTTCTAGATCTCCTATTATTTTACGTTTTGGCCGTTACATCACCTTCCTTTAGTGCAATCAAAACAGGGTTACACTACGCAAATTATCAATAAAATCCCTCCAGCTAAATTACCCAAATATCTAAACCTTTTCTTGTTCTCTCAATCTTCCATACATTACCAAAGGGAAATACATCACAGTAAAACAAACTAGAGAAAAGGTTTGGCGTACCAGAGAACCACGATCAAGGATAAAGATGCTGTCCATATTCAAAACTGTTGATATACGGTGAGCAATCGTGATCACTGTCATGCCACTGCATTCACTGTGTATTGTATTCTGTAGTATTGAAGCTGTTTGCAAGTCAATATTTGCTGTGCATTCATCCAAGCAAAGCACCTGAAAAATTGACTATTGTTAGTATCCACCGACCAGTGCATTCATCTCTTATAGATTGTCTCTATGGAACCAATATTACCAAAATCATAACATTGAGTATATAGTTAGAAAAAGGTACATTTATGGAGTTGAAAGGTACTCAAGTAGGTATATGTATAAGCAATTGGTGATTGAAGAAAAAAAATGATTTTAAACTAACTTAAGAAAGCAAAATTGAAAATTTAATTTCCATGAAATCATTTTCATGGAACAATCTTTTTATTGGAAAATTTTACAACCACAGCTACAGAGCCTCAGTAAATATCACGTTGTGGTTTTGCAGCACTACTCCTTTCAGTTAAGTAGAGTCTTGGGTCATGTGTGTGATGAATGATGATACTACATAAAGCTCACTCTTTTAGCTGTTACCTTGGAAGACTTGAGAAGAGCACGTGCAAGGCAAAGGAGTTGCCTCTGTCCAACAGAAAATGATGTCCCAGCTTCTTTAACCTGAGAATCCAAACCCCCTGCTGCTTCTACTTCCTCCTTTACATGACATTTCTCTAAAGTATCCCAGATTTTCATGTCATCACTTATCCGCAGAGGATCTAGGTTGTCCCTAAAATAGTGAGACAAAAAATTGTTAAATTGTACAATTGGCTGTACAAGTTGACTGTATACCCCCTACTTGATGCTTTGCGAATTGAGATGTAAGGAGAGAGCAACTGAGTAACTGATTTAGTATGTAATTGCTACAAAGAGAAGGCAAAATGTGCATGGACTTTGGAACCCTAGCTATGAGCCTATCAGTAATCCCACTCACCCCCCCCCCCCCC